GTGGTTTCCCTGGCAAGGCTTCTGCGGCTGCCCTGCAGGCTTCCCAGCCTGCAGTTCTTCAGCTCTAAACCATTTTTCTGCAGCAGTCTCCAGGGTCAGGACAGGGCGAGAGAATCTGCCGGTGGGACAGCCCCCAAACTGAGACTGCGGTGGCAGTGCCTAAGGCAGGCCCCAGCCCTCTCTGGGCCTCGGAGTCCCCAAAAGGGGACCAGGAAAAGAGGACCTAGCTTAATGTTGGCTATGGCAGCACAGACACTAAAACCGGAAACTTCCAGAAGGCTCGGCATGGCCCTGCACAGGGATGGCAGCAATTCTGCAAAGTATTCTATATTTCCCTCCCCACAACTAAAGTAGGACTAGCTTACCTGGTACCCCCCCAGGCCTGAGCTCAACCGGCTGTCTTACTTGCACTGACCACTTATCTGTTTTACCCACAAGTGCCCCCGTGCCCCATTGGGTGTCTCATGGTACCAATGACTCACCTGGAGTCTTCAGAACTTCACCCCTTCCTTCCTTGCCTCCCAACAAGCCCTTCTAGGTGCACCTGGTGTGTCTCTTCCTAGCCTTTTCTCATCCTCGGGCAGCTGGATTCCCTCCTTTGCTCAGCTGACAGTTCCCCAGTGCCACACATGCATCCAGAAACTTCCTTTAGATTCCAAATCAGGGTCTGTTTTCTGACTTCTCTTCCAACCCACTGGGTGATCCCTGAATCAGCCAGCACCTCATTCCAAAGAGCAAAAAGGGCAAGTTTTCTGGGGAAAGAGATCTAAATATGACAACCAGGTGACCAAGCCCAGCCCCTCCTGAAACTCTCTGGAGGTCATGCAGCGGCATCCCTATGAACTCGGGCTCCCAGGAGAGCTGGCAGTGTGGCCTACACATGCTTGCATCTGCCCCTGAGACACCCCTGGTGTCGGCCATGGCAGAGCCTCACCCCGAGTGAGCTGGTGTGGAGCTGCCAGCTGACACATGCTCAGAGCTGGTCCACAGGGCTCTGAGTGGAGTGTTCCCGTGTGCCTGGTGCTGCTGGTACCTCCTCACGACCCTGAAAGAGGCTGCCCATTTAAGGACCATTCCCACGTACAGCATGAGTAAGCAAGGTGCAGAGACAAGAGCCTGTGGTAGCCCCCACAAATGATCCCAGGATGATTCCTTGGAAGTTGCAGCTCAGTGCCCCAGTCCAGTGACAATCCCTCTGGTCATATGCCAACAGAGTGACGAGAGCACTCGGGCCTCCTGACCCCAGTTCTCCTGCACCCACTAATCTACCACAGATGGGGGTGCATGCTGGCACTGTGATTGGTGTTCCACCAAGTATGGACGTGCCCAGTCAGTGAGACTTAACTTTCCTCCTAAAGAAATAAGGCACAAAGCAATAACTAAGAAATACTTAAAAGAAAATAAAAAATAAATCCGGTTGGCAGCAAGATCTCTCTGCTCTGCTCACCTGCAGCAAACTGTTGAATTTTTCACAGACTCAAAAGGATACTCATGCACCTAAGTTCACAGCAGCACTACAGGCACTAGGAAAAAGCTGGAAACAACCCAAATGACTAATAACAGATGAGCAGATAAAGGAACTGTGGTCTACACACACAATGGACTATGCCTCAGCTAGATGATAAAATGAAATCTTGTCTTCTGCTATCACATGCCTGTAACTAGAAGGCGAATCCTGGCAAGTGAAGTAAGTCAGAAGGAAAGAGAGAAATACTGGATGGACTCACTCATCCATCGGATATTAAAAAAAAAAAAAGCAAGAGGACAGACAATGCCCGAAGCAAACACCCTTAGACTTGGTGGGTGTCTGCAGATGGTGGGGGAGGGGTACTTGTGCTTTGTTGGAGGGTATGGTATGGGACAATGTAACCCTACAACATAAATATTTATGGTCTTGCAAACCAACGCTACCTCAATAAAAATACATCTTCTTGATGTTTTTAATTGGGCTGGCATTTTAAAAAAAATAAAAGGCAGGCTTTTAATTTCTGTGTTTAGATTTGTTTATCTGTCCATACATTCTTCATGTATGCCTTTTTTTGTTTGTTTTCAAAGATGGAAATGATTTCCTTTGGGCCCATGAGTCTGGGAAATCCTCCTGGAAGGACAAACTGCATCTACAAACACTACGGGAAGCCCAGGGCCTGCCTTGAGCTCAGCCTCTGCCCAGCTCCTTTCTTCCATAATTTCATGGTTTGTTTGGAAAACTGCCCAGCTATGACATGGTATCATCTGGGCTAATACGGCCCCAGCTCAGTGAGTGATTGCTGACAGGCAGGCTTGTCTTCCCAAACAGCGCAGGAGATAAAGCGTGGATTCAAAACCGAGTCAGAAAAATGATTTCCAAAGCACCAACAAGACCACAACGAGAAAGGCTGTGCCATGTGGGGACGTTGAACCAGGCACTGGAGAAGTCGCAGGTTACAAGACGTGTCTCTTGCTGTCCCCACTCTCTCAGGGGCTTCTTGGCACTGAGTAATCAAATAGTGACGCCAGGAGGAAAAATATGACACCTCACTCCCCTCGGGCAAGGCCTTGGTGAGGACTGGCATGAAGCCCCCAGGTATGAGCTGAAGTGATGCTTTAGTTCCATTCTGGTCTCCTTACATGTTACTGATCCTCCGTGATACTGTGCTTTATTCTGCATTCACGAGAAATCCCATCACCATAGCAACCGGAATGTGGCACCAGAACTTTTCTTGTAAATGGGGCTTAGCCTGTGGCCTCTTGTTCCTAGCAGACATGGGGTAGGGGGCTGTGTCCCCAGGCTCAGGAGACCCCACCCCCCCGCTCCCAGGGGCAGGGCTCTGGCTTAGGGGACACACTCCAGAGGGCACCCCATCCTTCCAGCCCCATTAGGGTTGTGTGGACAGTGACTTCACTGGAGGTGGGAGTGGGCAAGGGGCACAGATGAAGGCCCAGAGAATGAAGCCATAGCTAACTTCTCTTTGTAAAGTTTGGCAGGAAGAGAAAAGAGAAGCTGGATGATTTTACAATTTTTCTGGCATAGGATAAACATTGGGTATTTTTCATTTTCTTGTGTCCAAGACTCCCTGAAAATTGGGAATATATGTCCCATGGTCACTGGGAGCTCACAATGGCACTGAGTATTCTCTGGCCCTGGTGCACCCCACGGGAGTTAATCTTCACTCCCTCCTTTCTTCCCAGCACCTGCTGCAGGATGGGATGCCCCAGCTTCAGGGGGTACCTGCAGGTCAGCATCTGGGCCAGAGGCCCAGCATCTTCCAGGTCCTCTACCCGTTTCCGGGCAGGGTCCCTGCTCCTGCTACTGGGCTCCCTCTATAGTATGTGTCTCTGCAGCAGGCCTGAGGCTGCTCTGGGTTCAACCTGTGAGGATGATGATACCATCAGCACCCACTCCCATGCCACCTTGCAGAGCCATGGGCTGAATGTTCTCAGAGCAGCATGGCCCTGGATGCTCTCTACAGCTGGAGAGCAGGTGCGTGCAGCCAACTGCCCCATTTACAGCCCAGGAAAGGACCCTGGGAGGTGAAACGAGGTGTCCAGAAAGAGGAGATGCAGGGCTGCCACCCCAGGTCTCCCCCCAATGAGAAATCATCAGACAGTGGCTGTACCACACGGAGCACGTGGGAATTCACAGAATCTGTGAAACACTCAGTGAGTCAGGCAGCTTCAGCAGATAAAATTCCATCAGCTTGACGCAGCATCAAGCTCTAATCTGCTAGCCCCCAGCCTCTCCAGAAACCCCCCTTACACACACACACACACACACACACACACACACACACACACACACACACATCAGCCCTCACACCCGCAGGTTGCGGTGGCGGTTTGTTCTCTCGCCTAAGATGAGAAATGCTGCTTGAATAACAGATGGGGAGGGATGCAGAAATAAAACCCCTTGGATGGATGCATCTTGGGGGAGTGTCGGAAAGTGTAGAACCGAGTGTGAGTCTATGAAATTCAACACAGTCAAGAAAGCCAGAGCAAGCAGGCTTGTGCCCCCACATGCAGGAGGTGAAGGGCACTCACACCAGCCACTGACTTCGGGCTCATCGGCATCACGCCCACAGAATGCCTTGTGTGCTTTGATGCCCTCTGCACCATCACCCTGACCATGGCCATCTGGGGGGCCAGGACCTTCCAGAGCTCACCCCCAACCCCACCTCTGCAGCCCACCGGGGTGAGAGGGGCCCTGATGTGGGTGAGGTGGCCTGGGTGGATGTTGGGGGGGGTGGGGAGGAAGGCCTGTCAGAGTGAGGCTGGAGCTGGACCCTTGGGGCAGCAGGCTCAGATTTGCTTTTTTTTTTTTTTTCACTATCTTGATGCCCCTATCAGGCCTTGAACCTTGGCCGCTGCACTCGGATGCCTCCCCCAACACCCCTCTGCCATCTGCTCCCCAGCCCTCATGCCTCATGCATGTCCTCACTGTGGTCAGGCCATGTGGCTCTGGGACCACAAGCATTTCCACGGGGGCTGCATAGTGGAATGCTTCAGCACAGGACTCCCAATGCAGGGGTTTCCGTAGGTGCCACAGGGCCTCCTCTTCACATGATGCACTGGGTGAGGCGTGGAGAGCTCCCAAATGCACAGGAGCAAGAGGGGCAGGGGAAGCTCTTCCTCTCTGCTGACTCAGCCCCTGCACAGACCAGGAGCCCTTTAACCCCTCCCCCTCAACCCCTGACTGCACAGGGGCGATGCTCTCACAGTATCATAACTGCACCCCACCCCTGGGGATGGTGCCCTGGGACCACAATCTGTGCCCAGCCTGGCCTCCTGATGGATGAGACTGTCAGACAGGGCAGCGATGCCCTCACTGAGGGCCCACCCTGTGTGAGGGAGCTGGCAGGGTCTGTGTCTGCTGCCCACCAATGCTTCCAGGGTGCCCCTCAGTTATGCATCCCCAAAGGGCCTCTGGACAGCAGCAGTGCATCCCCAGCATCCCCGCGCCCACACAGGCTCCGTGCCTGCTCTCCCCGGCCCTCCTTCCTGGGCACAGTCCCCGCGGGCCCTACCTTTGAGGAAGCAGTCCCTGCTGCGCGCCGCCCAGATCTTCCTACCCTGCAGGCAGGCAGTGCGGTGCAGCTCACAGTGGTTCTCATAGAACCTGCCGTCGGAGCCACACACGGGCACGTAGCTGGGCCGGCAGGTCTGCAGACAGCGGCACTCGGGCCGGCCGGTCTCTTGGCTGCGCACGCAGCTGCTCCCTCGGCCACAGAGCTTCCCGCAGGTGGTCGGCAGCCCAAGGTCGAAGCCTGCAGGCACACAAACACACAAACACAGCGGGTCACTGGGGCAGGAACATGGTGGCTGCTCTCTCAGCTCGCTGCACGCACAGCTGTTGGCTCATGAAACTGAGACCCGGGGCTGTGTGTGTGTGTGTGTGTGTGTGTGTGTGTGTGTGTGTGTGTGTGTGTGTTGGGGGTGGGGAGGAGTTCTGTCCCTCCAACTGGGGTGCACCATGGGTGCCAAGAGCAGTGTTGTGGCCATGCTGCTCCTCCAAACTCCTCAGACATGAGCCCTGCCTGTTCTGGGATGGAGCAGTAAATAGGTGGGGTACACAGAGGTGGCCAAGTCTCATTGTGCCCACCCCAGGTGTGGTGCCAGGGTCTTAGAGAGTTGAGAAGGGGGATGGGGGGCTCTGGTCTAAGATGAGAGGCATTCAGGAGCCATCATGGGGGCGAGGGCATGAGGAGAAAGTGGGATCAAGGGTTCCGAGTGGAAAGGGCAGCCCAGGAACCTTTTCTTCTGCGGCACACATCCTTAGCAGAACCAGCAGCCCCTCTCCTCACCTCTGCCCAGTCTTTCCAAGCACAAAGCCATGCTGGGTCGAGGTGGAGCGAACCTTGGCCTCGCAGACACTACACTGATATAGGTTGCAAGTCTGCCTCATCCCCTGTACCCATAAAAATCTCAGGTCCAGATCTTGCCCACCAAAGGAGACAGGGCACCTGGCAGAGTGCCTTACTGCTAAGAAGGGCTGGAGAGAAGGCCACTACCACCTCCAAACATGCCATCATAGGATCTGGAGACTTGGAAGAGTGCCATGTGACATTAATGATGATAGGAAATGTAGATTTCAGAGGGACATCAAAATACAAATAATTAAAACAAGCATGCAGATTTTCATGGCCACAGAAGTCTTTGATTAAAGTTTTAATTAAATCGCCTTCAAAATGCTCAGCAAGACAGAATGGCCCTGGTAGTTAAGACTAAACTTTGAACCCCAGCTGCTCCCCCATGGGATCAAAATATCTGCGGAGGGGGTTGGCAGGGGATTGGGGGTGGGGGAATGACTTCCTTTCCTTGTTTCTGGTTCAGTCTGCTTTTCATCATTATAGATCTGAAAGGGAGGGAATCAGTTATTGGTAGATTAACTGCTGGACTCAATAACTCATTTAAATTCCTCCAGCCTTGGCAAGCTAAGAAATATTGACTTCTTCCTGAATCATAATAAACCAGAAGGTCAGAATATCTATGGGTTGTGTAAAAGTGCAGATCCTAAGTGGGCGTGTGGATCTCCTTTATCCACTTCGCTAATTGTTTGCAAGGCAGCATGGCCCCTTGGCAGGCACCGCTCCTCACCCGTCCACGCTTCAGACCGCTGCAGGGAGACAGCGCGGCAGGGCTGGGGTGCGAGGGGGAGCTGGGCTGAAGGGTCTTCACCCGGTGCTGATGCCAGAGTGAGTATGCTCAGCAGGGTTCATCTGTGGGCTTGGAAAGAGGGTTAGCCTAGAAAGTGCTGGTGGCAACTAGAAGAAATGAATACAGTTCCCCAAAGAACCTGTTTACTTTCTGAGCCGGCCAGGACAGTATTCTCCAGCCCTCACCATGGACTTGGCTTCCCCGGTGATGGGAAGGGTTGCCACCAGCTGCCTTTGTTTCAAGACACTGAGAATGTTCCAGGTCTCCATTCCTGCCCACCCACCCAAATGCCAGGCAGCCTTCCCCTAGCTGCTTGGGGCGCTGGCTCTCTGGTAGCCCTGTCCTAGTGCTCCCTCTTGGCATCCCTCAGAACTTCTGCTCTAGACTCAGCCTTACTGAAGTGGCCCCGGATGTGTGTGTATATGTGTGTGTGGCTGCAGGCATGCTCCGGTATTTTTCTGAAACACAGTCCTTGTCAAAGCTGGTGCCAGGGTTCACACTGCAGGCTGCGGACTGGAAGGGAGAAGGCCCTGCAGATGGGACCTCTCAAGGGGTCGGAGGGCAGCTGGAAGGTAGAGGCAGGTCCCGGCACCAGAACCTGGAGTTGCAGAGCTGGGTTTACCCAGCCCAGGCCATCATATGGAGGCTCATGGCATGGATGGGTGGGAGGAGGCAGCTGACCCCTTCTCCTTGGAAGCACCCACAGACCTGGACTGCAGGGAATGACAGTGTGGCTGGTAGTCCTTGGCACCAGCAGGCACGGCTCCCAGGCAGTAGCGGAGGGTGCAGGCTGAGAAGGCACTCACGTTCACTGCCATGCTGGTCCAGAACTCTGGTTTCACTGCTCTGAACACTGGCTAAGACTGGGGCTGCCAAGGGATCCTATATGCCACAAAGGCCAAAGTAGCTCCAGAATCCCGCATGGGGGAATACAGATTGGGAGAACACAGGTTCCTGCCTCTGAGACACACTCCTCATCAAACAGAGCTCCCCATTCTCACCCTGTTATGAAAACAGAGTGAGCCCCGCTCCCGTCTGCACCATGAACAGTGGTGGGAAAGGCAGCCGAGGGAGTCTGCAGGACGACTGCGATGTGGGCAAAAGATATAACGGGTTTAATTTACAGCCATCAAGGGGCCGTTTCTCAGGTTAAAAACCCATCCCCTCTCCTAAGACACGGTGCTACGGCACCTAGTGAAATCTCCTGAATACGGGAGGAAAGAGGAATGTTCTCTGGGAGTCAAAGTGGCAGGGGATCCCGCCCTTTGCACAAGGCCAGGTTAAAGGCCCCTCCAGGACTGGATGCAGCTTTTCCCCAGGGGTCCCTGTCTGCACCCCTGCAATCGGCCGGCCCGAGAGCAATGGGAGCTCGTCACTGATCAACTCTGGGCAGAACCCAAGCCCAGGTCTGGGGCCGACACAGCACCCTGTGTCCCTGGACAGGGAGTTTGGATAAGGTCCTTTCTAGCTGCAGAGGAAGAACACAAGTGTCACATTAGACTCCTTGGAAAGTTAGAGCCACAGCACTCACCTGTGAGAGTATAAATGAGCCTGCGGTGAAGCCTGACTCTGCTCATCTGCAAGGGGAAGGTCCCTTTGAAGCCAGTTCAAAGGAAAAGGGGGAGTGTGGGGTCCCAAAGAAAAAGGGCGGGAGGAGGGGCAGGTGACCCTCGGGCTGCCAGTGACCTGCAGGTAGAAAACCATTGTCTTGGGGGTGATTTTCTCCACTGGAAGGAAATAGTCGGCCTCATTATTGAGAACAAGCCTCCCCGCTGCCCAGTCTGGTTTTAATCAACAGTAAATAGTGAGTTGAGCAAGCTGCAGGCCCCAACCCTGCTCAGCGGGGGGAGAAGCCCTGATGGGTGGCCTGGGTGGGGGGATATTCCCCCCAACACCCCCAGATGCCCAGAGGCACCACCCACACAACTGCCCAGCCAAGGGTGGTCAGTCCTTCCTCGGAAAGTCCAAGCCTCACAGATAGCCGAGATCCCACCCTGAGCTGACGGAGGTTATGGGGATGAGCTGAGAGTAGAGTCGGGGGTTCAATGTGTGTGAATGTGGATTCAGGATGTCCTGGTGGGGGGCAGGTCTATGCCCCTGGGTCTCATGTCCTCCTTGTTAGCTGTGTGACCTCAGGCACGTGGAGATAACTCCAAGCACCAGAGCAGAAGCTTTGCATGAGGCAGCCCCAGGTCCCATCCCCAGCAACAATGGGAGAAAATCTTTGAGCACCACTGGGTGTGTCTCCAAAAACAGAACACAACCGAGGGTAAAATGAGACGATTTGTGCAAAGAGCCTGGGACATAATGGGTGCTCAGTGGGGACACCCTGGGTGGGGGAACAGGGTGCAGCCCGGGAGGATCAGTTTGGCTTCCTGGATGCATAAGGCCCAGGTGAGGCAGGGGCAGGCCTCTCTAAGGCCTCTCAATGCAAGGCGGAGGGAGCTCATGCAGAAAGGATCGGCCTCTGCCTTGGGGCACCAGGCTCCCCACCTGCCCGCAGCCTGCTGCTCAACTGCACTGGCAGCTGCCCTGGTGCCCGCCACGTCCAGGCCCCCGTTCAGGGTCAGGCTGGTGATGCTCTTCCTTCTGGTGGCCCTTTGAACTGACACCTCTCCATGCTGCAGGAGGACAGGGAGATCCCTGACTCAGGATTTCTAGAGCTTTCTCCCTGAGGCCTGCCACTGGCACTGTCCACCTAAACCAAGCTCCCAGCCACTGGCTGCAGCTTTTCCCAGCTGCTGGAGGGCTCTCGGCTCTCCTCAGCTGTGAAAGGAAACAGCAGGCACAGCAGGGCCTGGGGTAGGACCCTGGGCAGGGCATCAGGACTCCAGAGGCTCTCAGGGCTGCGGGGACCTGGCTGTGAGGCTCTGCTGTCATATTCCCAGCTGAGTGCTCTTGCTGCGGCTGTGGGGAGAATCTGAACCCTGGGGCAGCAGACACCCCCATCAGCGGGACGTGAACAGAGGGCAGCAGAGCCTCTGTTTAGCCTGCCTTCTGCCCTCCCTCCCTCCCTCCCTCCCTCCCTCCCTCCCTCCCTCCCTCCCTCCCTCCCTCCCTCCCTTCCTTCCTTCCTTCCTTCCTTCCTTCCTCCTTCCCTACCTTCCCTCCCTCCCTTATGAGAGAGGGAGGGAGGGAGGGAGGGAGGGAAAGAAGGAGTCAAGTAGTGCCCTCCCCACTTTATTCCAGACTGGGAGCAGGAGGGCATGTTTGGTTCTTCCAGCATCCCTTTCCCTCCCTGCCCCTTGCCAGCCTGGGTAGATTCCAATCTCTCAATGTGTCCTCAAACCAGAGGGAAAACTGACTCTGTTCCCTGGTTATTCTCTTAAAGAGGAGTGGGGGGTGGGAACTCAATGAAAACAGCTAATATTAGCACAAAAATATAGTATTTTGAATCAGATGGTTTGTCAATTTCTCCTCTCCTCTCCTTCCCTCTTCCTTCCTTCTCTCCCTCTCTCTCTCCTTCCCTTCTTCTCCTCCCTCCCTCCCTCCCTCCCTCCCTCCCTCCCTCTCTCTTTTCTCTTTCTCTTTCTTTCTTGTGTTGACCATACCTGGTAGTGCCCGGGGGGAGAGAGAGCAGGTGATGCCAAGTATCGAACTCAAGACTTTG